AGGGTGTAGGCTATTCTTCCTCTTCTTATTTTTTGATGAAAAGTCTCATCTTGATTAGAGAAAATTTTATTTTTATCCATATACTGTGTCTCGATTTTCAATTACACTCTCAGATTTTGAATAATTTCAATTTTATCCCTAAAATCACATTTAAAACGGAAAATGTTAAAAAAAATTATATTTTGGCCTTAAATTTCAAAAGAAATATGCAAACCCACCCTCTCTTACCCAAACTCACCATCTCTCATCATCCTCGAATTTTTTCCTCTCCTCTGCCCTTGCAAGCGTTGCCACTACCACCAACCACCACCGCAATCACTCAATTCTCCAACCCAACTTCTCTCAAACACAAATTCACTTACTCAATGTATGTGTATATATATATATATATGTACATATCATCATTTCATCAACTTCTCTCAAACCCAAATTTACTTACTCAATATTCTCTCAAACCCATATCAATTATCTATATATATATATATATACATATCATCTCTTCATCAACTTCACAAACATCACCACCTGAACCATCAACTTCACTGCCACTGAACTCCATTATCGCCACCATGAGCATCACCATCACCACCACCTTTCAACACTAAACATACCTCCTTCACAACCAAGTTCCATTACCACTACCATCATTCTCCATGACCACCACCACTGTAAGTGTAATGACCCCAAGACATGTGTCATATTTATTAGTAATTAATTATGTGTTTATGAGAATTAATTGAAGAATATCTGTTTGAATTAGAAGAATATCTGTTGAGATGAGAACTTTGGGACTGAAATTGATGACCGTAATGGGTTCAGAAAACGAAATTGAGAACGTTTATGTGATACCGGGAATTTTTAGAGCCATTTGGAAAAATAAATTGAGGACTGAATTTCGTCTGAATTGCTAAGCCTTGTTTGGCTCATGTTTATGGCACAATTCTATATTTATGATATATAGATAAGGATAAGGGCTATGTTGACCATGTATTGACTCAACAAAAGAGGGAAAGAAAATATCTAAGAGAGAGAGAGAGAGAGAAGAATTCGTGGAGGGGAGAACCAAGGGAGGAAGAAGAGTAAAGAAAGGGGAAATCAAGCTATCTTCTTCATTTAAACAATCAAGGTAAGAATTCCTCTCTAATTTCTTGAAATAAGGTTGATTCATGCATGACCTCATGGTAAATAAGTGGATTGAAGAAGAAATATGTTTAATTTGAGCATGTATGGCATAAATTGATGATTTATGTTTATATTTGGCATTCTTGAGGAAGAACCTCCATGGATATGAAGAAATGAAGCTTTTACATGAATAGTTATGATTCTTCACCTCAATTCATGGTTTGATCTTGTATATGATGCATTTGGGTTTGTTTAGAAGCTAAAATGTGTAATTCAAGTTGTGTTTCAAGTGTTTTGAGACTTGGGTTTCATCATGTGGAAAGTGATTTTGTAAAGAGGAGAATGAAGCTTGGAAGAAGAACCAGAAATTCGGATTGATACCTTCCCCAGCCCCAGACCTGCCTCGGCCCCGTCCCCGTCCCCGTTGATATGAAATTACCGTTCTACCCCTCCCTATATATATGTGTGTGTTTCCCTATTATTTTGACTCAATTTAGGCTCTCTCACTCTCGGTTTCTCTCTCTCTCTTTGTCCAGGAGGGCGACGAAGAACGATTTTTTCTTCTCGGCTCAGGCTTAGCTAGAGAAGAAGAAAAAGAACTGGAAGATTTTTTAAGGGCAAACATAGAGGCGTTCGCCTGGACACCGTATGAAATGCCTGGCATTGACCCCGAGGTCACTTTCCACAGTCAACCGGTTTTGGAAACCCATTGTGAGTAACATTTCTATAAAGATATGTTAGTATGATCTATGTTTAAAAGTGCTACGTTATGCTATGGTTTTGAAATGATAAATGTTTTCTGTGAACGAATGTCCAGTTTGCGAATCTAGTATGGCATCCATAGATAGTCCTAAGTGGACCAGTTTACGAGATCTCGGTATGTGTTTAATCGGTGTCCGGGACCGGTTACTCTAGTCGTTGGACGACAAATGTTATGTTCTATGGAGTATGCCATTATGTATGTTCTGATATGAGATGATTATGTTTATGAATGATTTATTTTATGGATATATGAAATGTGGAATTCGTTCACTACCCCTTTACTTTAATGTTACTTGCTGAGCTTTAGCTCATTGTTTGTATATATGTATTTATAGGTGAGCACTCTGGGAGTCAAGCCTAGGCGGAGTCCGAGCCGAGCCGCCGTTTTGAAGCCTACCTGGTGTTTTGGTGCCTCTGAGTTGGGGCTAGGCCTAGAAGGCCGTTAGGAAGCTTGGTTTTAGTTGTACATGTGGCGTGAGCCTATGTTTTGTTTTGTACATGAATTTTGATTATATGTGATGTAATGTAGTGGGTAAATTAACATTTTTGGCATGTAATGTATGTTCATATAAATGCACAGCTCTTTGGACTATTAGTGTTTTGTTTTCGCTTCCGCAAGCCCCGGTTATGTATGTTTTGTACAGAAAGGCCTGTGGTAATCTAGGATTACTGGCCGGTTACGATGCCAACCTTCTCGGGGCGGGTTTGGGTCGTGACAGCAAGCTCCGCCGCCATTACCGAACTGCCACCACCACCAAACCACCACCACCACCACCATCACCAACTCCTTTACCACCTAGAACCATGCTCCATATCATGTTATAAGTGAAGAAGAAGAAGAAGAAGAAGAAGAAGAAGAAGAAAGAGGAGGAGAATGGAGAAGAAAGAAACAAAAGATGAATGTTTCAAAATTTTCAAAATTAATTTTTGAACAACTTTCAGCGTACCGAAACTGCCTATTACATGAAGAAATGAGAAAGCGAGATAGTATATGACGAAGTAGGAAGTGAGGTGAAGAGAATGGTGAAAGAATGAGGTAGAATCGTAAAGAATTGAGAAAGATATGAAATTTGAAAGATGGCTCAAATAAAAGTCAGAAACAGAAAGAAAAATCTTTTTTTTTTATTAACTTTCGGAGCTCCAACAATATGCAAAGAGGAGGAAGAATGAGACCTTTGAGAGGTAAATCCAATGATGTAAAAACGAGACGAAACAGAGTTATGACATAAGAGATAGAAGGACTTAAAATGGTAGTGAGGAAAGAGAGTAAGTTTGCATCTTTTTTTTTTGAAATTTAGGGTTAAAAGATAATTCCTTTAACTTTTTCCGTTTCAAATGTGACAGTATGGATAAAAATGAAATTTTCTCTCTTGATTATCAAAAGTTATCATCCTTCTTCATGTTGTTATCAAAATTGTAATAGGTACATTTATTTAAGGGTCCAGTTTGTCTCTTGTTGAGATCAAGATTAGATTCGTCTAGTCTGGTCCATGCGCCTATTTTTGGGCCCCATTTAGATAATCTGAACCGTTGGTGTAGAACTCGTCGTATATTATATCCCTATAAAAAAATCACACTGATCAGATATCGATAGCTATTTGATCAGATTAGAATTCTGTCCACCATTTATTTTTTTATCGTTCTTTTTTTTAATACAAATCTCATCCGATCAAATAACTATCTATATCGGATCAACGTGATATTTTATAAAGATATAATATTCAACGAGTTCTACATATTAAACGGTTTAAATTATCGAAACAAAATTCAAAAATAAACCCATATGTTAGACTAAACGAGTCTAATTTTAATATTAACATGGAATAATTTGGACCCTTTATTTAATTGTATATGGTGTTTTTGTTTCCCACGAAGGTATGAAATCTTCTATAATTTGATTGCCAATCAAAAATAAAATAAAATAAAAATAAATAAAATTATTCTGATTAAAATCAAACACTCCCCGTCATGATTTGAATTTCCCTCGAAGCACGTTTTGTAATGTCGTGTGCGACTTTTTGTCTCCGAACTCCACCCAAAAGTCCAAAACCAAAAGAGTCCGAGTGTCACGTTACTGTCCACACAACTTTGCTGGTCCACACTTGGGCTTATTTTTGACAATTAGATTAAAATTTAAAAAATATTTTATTTTTTATTTTTTTTAATTATATTAATTTTTTTATACATTTTTAAAAAAATTAATTTTTAATTTACTTGTTTACAAATATAAATATATATATATAAAATAATTTATAAATATAAAATTTATATGACAAAATATATTTAAAATAATGTGTCAATAAAATTCATAAAATAACAAGAATTTATCTCATCTTATATAAAAAATTTATTTGCATATTATTACCCTATTTATAATTTATAAAGAGAGCGAGAGATCGTTTAGTTTTTGAGTTGGATTAAAAATCACAAAAAAAATAAAAAATAAAAAGCTAAAAAATTACAAAAAGACAAAAATCATAAAAAGACAAAAAAAATTTGTCATTCCAAAGTCAAAAATTCAAAAAAACTAAACAAGAATATCAAATGATCAAATAAGTCTTAGGTTAAAAAAGTCAAAAAAATTAAAAAGCCAACTAAAAAAGTCATTGCCAAACTAGCATTGAGGTCTCATTTGACAAATGACTTTTTTAGTCAAAAAGTCATTAAAAAATTTAAAAAACCAACAATTCATTCTAAAAAATCAAAGATTTTATTTTTTCTCTATTTTTTACACATCTTTTCATAAAAATTTAAAAAGTCATCCCAAATATACTAATTTTTTTTTATAACACATTTTAACTAAAAAAATTAAAAAATTACTAAAAAAACATGTTTTCAAAAGAGACCTTAGAGGCTGTGAATTTTATATACTTGCCTTATTTATGAACATCTTTATGAAAGTGTACACCTCTAACTACTATTAATTAAGAGATTGAAAAATAATTCATTTAATATATTTTAAAATTATTTTTTAATTAAAAAATCACATAAATAATATTACATAATATTTTAAAATTATCTAATAATTTTCCTTTAATTACCAACCAAGAACTTGTCCAATGACAAACTGTTCATGCTCACACCCCACACAAATGAAGTCAACACTACCCCAAAACTTCCTGAAGCTCCTCCTCATCCTCCCCTTCCTCCACCATCTTCCACCCATCTCCTCCACCACTTCAACCCCTCTCCTCCCCAACGAAGCCCTCCCCGCGAAATCGGGTTACCTTCGTGTCAATTCCACCACCAATTCTTCCATTTTCTACGCATTCTATGAGGCCCAAACACCCAACTCACCTCTCTCCCAAACCCCACTCCTCATTTGGCTCCAAGGCGGCCCTGGTTGCTCCTCCATGGTGGGCAACTTCTACGAACTCGGCCCGTGGCGTGTTTCTCACAAACAAAACGTCGAACACATCATGCTGGAACCCAATTCGGGTTCTTGGAACCGCTTATTCGGACTCCTTTTTCTTGACAATCCAATTGGAGTTGGATTCAGTATTGCCTCAACTCCAGAAGAAATCCCAAGAAACCAACACACTGTTGCGAAACATCTTTTCGCGGCGATCACATCGTTTGTCGCCTTAGACTCCTCGTTCAAATCGCGTCCGATTTACTTCACCGGTGAGAGTTATGCTGGAAAGTATGTTCCGGCAATTGGGTACTACATTTTGAAAAAAAATTCCCAATTGCCAGCGTCGAAACGGGTGAATTTGGCTGGTGTTGCTATAGGCAATGGATTGACTGATCCAATCACACAAGTAGCTACTCATGCTGTGAATGCTTATTTTTCTGGGTTGATCAATGAGAAGCAGAAGACCCAATTGGAAAAACTTCAATCTGAAGCTGTTGTACTGACTAAGAATGGTAGTTGGACTAAAGCAAGCGATGCAAGAAATGGGCTTTTGGATTTGTTGCAAACCATGACAGGACTGGCCACTTTGTACGATTTTCGGAGGCTAATTCCCTACGAAACGAGCTTCGTGGCTACGTTTTTGCAACACCCGGATGTGAAGAAGTCGTTGGGCGTGAACGAATCGATGGTTTACGAAGAATGTAGTGATGTTGTTGGCACGGCATTGCATGAAGATGTGATGAAGAGTGTGAAATACATGGTGGAGTATTTGGTGAAGAATAGTAAGGTTTTACTTTACCAGGGACAATGTGATTTGAGAGATGGAGTGGTTTCAACTGAGGCTTGGGTGAAGAAGATGAAGTGGGAAGGGATTGGGAAGTTTATGGAGGCAGAGAGGAAGGTGTGGAGAGTGAATGGAGAGCTTGCTGGGTATGTGCAGAAATGGGGGAGTTTGAGTCATGCTGTGGTGTTAGGGGCTGGGCATTTGGTGCCAACTGATCAGGCAGTGAATTCACAGGCAATGATTGAAGATTGGGTTTTGGAGAGAGGAGTGTTTGCCAATGAACAGCTTGAGAAACTATCTTTGGATTTCCATGGTGTGATTTGAAATTTGGTTGATAGTTTTCATTGTTGTGTATTTGTTTGCATCTGTTGTTGTATGAACTTATTGCCCCCATTCTTTCCTTTTTTAAAGGTTAGGGGGATCCTGCGGATGAATCTAGGTGTCCTGTGTGCCTTGGCAATTCAAAGTCTTAGACCATGTCTTATAGATATGTGCAAGCCATGGAGTTGGGTATGTATTACTAATGAATAAGAATATGGAATTGTCTGTAACATTAGATCTTTTTGCCTGTTTCTCTTGATCAATCACATTGATAATGTCATGATTATTGAGTGATTTGGTAAGAAATGGTATATAAAAATAAAATAAACTAAAAAAAAGAAGTAAAGAATAGAAAGGGTTTTCTTTTTTCTTGTTTGGTTTTGTAAGTTGGGTGAAAATTGTGAGAAATAAAACTCTTTTATTTTATGAATTTTATTTTTCACTTGATTGGTTGTATAATTTTTATAATACTAATATTACCCATTAAAATACAAAAGAATAAAATAAAATTGCACCAATATTCTCATATCACGTGCTATACTTTCTTATTTATCTAAATATGGTAGTGATAAAATGTTAGAAAAATGGTTTAATATAGGCGTATTTTTTAGTCCAATTATAAGTGGACCCCAAACGTTGTTTGGGGTGGGTCTGAAGAGGTGAAATGTTCCTTGCCGCGTGACAAGTCACACGGTGAAGACAGAACGTCAAAACCATTTATGAGTGAATGAGAAATTGACGTCGGTTTCACGTTTAACATTAATTTTTTAGACAAAGTTCATTTGAATTTTTTTAATAAAAATTATTGTGAGAATTTAATTTAAATATAAATTTATTTTTGATTTCTTAAAGTGGTTTCCTAAAAATGATTAAACTATTCAAATAGTTTAATATAAATATTCCAATTGGTTGAAATAAACTGTTCCTCTAAATGGTTTGTTTTTGTTTAAACTATTAAATTATGTAAATAGTTTAAAAAGTGTATTCCAACAGTTTTTATAACTGTTGCACCTCGGAACATTTTCAAATTATTTGAAAATAAGCAACGGTCAGATTTAATTTTCAATCAAATCTGTTCATTTGAATAAGGCACCTGTTGACCACTTTTTATACCTATTTGGACTATTACAAACGGTTACTTTGTTGCCTATAAATAGAAATTATATTCCAGCAATCTTGAAATTTTAGAGACATCCGAAAATCAGTCAGATTATTTGTGTTCTTGCTGTCCAGATTTCATTTTGTTGCATTACTTCTTCATTTTAGTTTTAGAATAAATTAAAGAGAGTATAGATCACAGGTTTGGTTCGCCGAACAAATTTGTTTGAAGTGCTTCTATAAATTTGTGAAGATCATTGTATCCTGGGAGATAGACGCCACTCAACCGTAAGCACCGTAGCGGAGCGAATCTGTCTTTAGGACAGAGTGTCACACACTCGACTTGGTCTTAAATTATTTATTCAGTTCAACGAAATAAATTTTGTAAGATTTATTTTATTTTGTTTGATTATTTCAAGTTATTTTATTTTACACAGAAAATTGTTCCAACAATCTTAAGACAGATTCGAATTATTCTGTTTACAAAATTTTTCGTTTGTTTCCTTTTTTCATTCTTCGTAAATAATTTTGGAAGAAAATTATTTTCTGTTAATTTACAAAATAATATTCTGGTTGGAAAAATAAATAGTGATTATATGTTATTTGACAGATAGTAGTAATATACTGTCTCTTTTCTTTGACAACTAGTAGTACGATACTGGTGTCATTAACAATTCAGAATATATTTTTGTGGAATTTTGTCAAGAAATTAATTTTGGTTTTTTAGAAATTATTTTATGAGTTTTCATTAATTAAAATTTTGTTTTCAGTATTTTAATTATTGAAGTGTTACTGAAATTAATTTTTTGTGTGGAATTAATTTGGTTAAATAAATTTTATTTTATTTCCAAATTAATTGATAAATAAATCCGAATTTAATTTCGTTTGTGGAATTAATTTGGTTAAATAAAATTTTATTTTATTTCTAAATTAATTGAAAAATAAAAGTTATATTCTTATTTCTTTTATTTTACAGAATTTAATTTTCTGTGTGGAATTATTTTGGTTAAATAAAATTTTATTTTATTTCCAAATTAATTGAAAAATAAAAGTTATAGTTTTTATTTCTTTTATTTTCTGTGTAGAATTAATTTGTTTAAATAAAATTTATTTTATTTTCAAATTAATTGGAACATAAAAGTTACATTCTTGTTTCTTTTATTTTTTACAGAATATAATTCTGTGAATTTGGTTTAATTTTCTGTATAGTGTAAATTCTAATTATAATTTTGTTTTATATATTAGAATTGATGGCTACTGAAACTAATGCCCAAACAAGTACTACTGTGGTGGTTGCGATTGCACCAACCCCCTCTCCTGTGATGACAGTACCAATAAATCATTGAGAGAAGCCAGAGAAGTTCTCAGGAACTGATTTTAAAAGATGGCAACAAAAAATGTTGTTTTATCTTATAACTCTGAATTTGGCTCGTTTCCTCCATGAAGATGCTCCTATCCTGAAAGAGGACAAAACCAATAGACAAGTGGTTACTACGGTTGATACTTGGAAACATGCCGATTTCCTTTGCCGGAACTACATCTTGAACGGACTTGACAACACATTATACAACGTCTACAGTCCAATCAAGACAGCAAAGGAACTTTGGGAATCGTTGGAGAAAAAGTACAAAACGGAAGATGCCGGTTTAAAGAAATTTGTGGTTGGCAGATTCCTGAATTTTGTAATGGTTGATTCAAAAACTGTGATCAGCCAAGCTCAAGATTTCCAACTCATTCTGCATGACATTCACGCAGAAGGCATGTCTCTTAGTGAATCCTTCCAAGTTGCAGCCTTAATTGAAAAATTACCAAAAGGTTGGAAGGAATTCAAAAAATACCTCAAACACAAGCGCAAAGAAATTTCTATGGACGAATTAATTATGCGTTTGAGAATTGAGGTGGACAACCGCAATTCTGAAAAGCGGGCTGGTAAGCATCCTATGGAGTCTAAGGCAAATGTGGTGGAACATGCTTCAAAAACCAAGAAACAAAAGTCTTCTGGAGAAAGTTCATCACAAGGCTCTAAAGGGGGGGATAATAAAAAGTACAAGTTTAATGGCAAATGTTACATCTGTGACAAAGATGGACATCGGGCTAAAGATTGCCGTAGCAAAGGCAAAAGCAAAAGAAGAACAAGCAAGAAGTCTGCTCAAACCCATATAACCGAAGTGGACAATATTTCCAATGGTGTCGATGACATCAATCTTTCTGCAGTTGTTTCCGAGGCAAATCTTGTCGGAAATCCTAAAAAATGGTGGGTAGACACTGATGCTACTCGCCATATTTGTGCCGACAAAAAGATGTTCACATCTTATTCTTCAGTGGAAAATGGTGAACAACTTTTTATGGGCAGCTCCTCAACTTCCAAAGTTGAAGGACAAGGAAAGATTGTACTCAAGATGACATTTGGAAAGGAACTCACTCTCAACAATGTGCTGCATGTACCGGACATTCGCAAGAATCTTATTTCCGGATCTTTATTGAGTAAGAATGGGTTTAGGCTAGTATTTGAGAGTGATAAATTTGTACTTACTAAAAATGGGATGTATGTAGGAAAAGGTTACATGTCTGATGGCCTTTTCAAGTTAAACGTAATAACCGTTGTACCCTCAGTTATTAATAAAACTACATCTTCTTCTTACTTGCTTGAGTCTTCAAATTTATG